AATGAAGCTGCAATAAAAGCACAATACAATAATTATGCCTAATATATTAAAGAAAACAGAAAAAAATGATAAAGGATTAAACTGAGAATCAGAATCTACAAAATAAAACAAATTGATATTTTAGAACTGAAAAATACAATTTCTGTATTTAAAACTGATTGAGTTGAGTGTCCAAATGCATTACTGAGATGACCCAGAGTAGTAATTATGGAAAGACTGGCAGTGGTGGTAATTATGGGAAGACTGGAGCAGGGGTAGTAACAGGAGGTGTCTAGTAATAGTAATAGCAATTGTGGCTAAAAGATACTAAGCACTTACCTGTGGTACTCTGCAAAAAACTTTGCACATGCAATTTCACAGCACAGTTTTGTAGATGAGGAAACAGAAGTGTAGACATGAAGTAAAAGAGTGAAAGCACAGTGAGATGGAGTATCAAGTGGGATTATCTGGAGAACAGCTTTCTTCCCAGCCTACTGGCTGGTTGTGATTCTCATGCTCTGGGATAGAATGGGACTAAAACAATTGTCATTTTTTTCCCAACAAAAAGATCCTGCCAAGACAGGGGGTCAGCTTTCTGCTTCTCCCACCAGGACCTGCCTTTTTCAACAATTAGACCATAGATCCATCCATCATCTCTACTTGCCGAAGGCCCTCAGCACCTTCTGAAACATACACACCCACTCAGCCATGAGGGGTGAGTAGGTACAGAGCGCATGGGAGAGCTCCCAGTTTAATAGAAGGGACGTCTCAATGAGATGGCCAGTCTTCAAGCTCATATAACAAAAATCTTCAAAGAGAACATGGAAATTCACCTTGTTCACTTACTGATACACGACCCTGAAAGGATTACTATCCAGTGTTTAGCAATATGCCCATAAACCCTTGCTAATTTCAAATAACCATTTTCCATTGATCTCCTGGAAGTTGAAAGAAAAAATCACATGCAAGTGAACTGAAAAAACAAACAGATGAGCACCACTTGTTTCTACACTTTCTCCATTCTAATGAGGCATTGGTCCAAGAAACCACATTCCTGCCCTTAGAAATCAGCTGCCAACATGAATGTGATTCTTCAGCTATGAGAAAATGTCTTTTGAAGGGTACAGGTTGGTTAATATTGGAAATTCTTATGTACTTTGGGAGATAACAGTATTTGCTCTGATAAGGACCAGTACTTTTTTGCATTGATAAGGACCAGTGCTTTTTTTCTTCCTTTTTATCTGGACTTGTCAAGATTCAGTCATGTCATTTTGCATTTTTCCTTTTTCTCCCTCTTGCCTTTGACCTCTTTGGGAGTAATTCCAGTTACGTGTTTTCCTGATACAGTGGTAGATATAATCCAGTATTGACGTTCCCTATGTTAAATTAAATCTTGAGACTTAGAAAAAGTTCTCATTTAGGAACAGTAAACAAAAGTTACAATGTGGAGCAGCTACAAAGCAAGAATACACTAAGTGTCAATGCAAGTGTTCAGCTTGATGACTTTGAAATCTCTTATTGTAAATCAATTCACTGGTGTTAAGGTTTACACTTCAAATAGAAAGAAGATGGGTGGATAGAAAGAAAGAAGAGAGAGAAGGGAGGGAGGGAGAGAGGAAGGAAAGAAGAAAGGGAGGGAGGGAGGGAAGGGAGGGAGGGAGAGAGAAGGGGAGGGAGGGAAAGAAGATTAGGGAGGAACAGAAAGAAAGAGAGAAAAAGAGGGAGGGAGGAAGTAGGGGAGCGAGGGAGGAAGAAATTCAAGTTGGGATTCAGATACTTGGCAGAGTAAGTCAATTTTGAATGGCAAAAAGAAAATAAAGCCAACTCTGGAATTTCCAGCTACCTACTGGTTACTGTTTGGAGAGAATTGCTGGCTGACAGATGGAAATTTACTCTCAGCGAAAGGTCTTACTCTGTGAATTCAGTGAGCTTAATACTTAAGATATAGACAGTTCTCAGTAAATGTTTGGTAAATAAATAAATGAACAGGTAAATGTACCAGTTTCTTTTTGTATGTTAGTATAACTGAGAAATCCAAAATCACGTAGAAAATCTTAGGTGCCTAAAGCATATTAGATGGAAAATGTAAGAAAGATGACCAATGAGGACCTAAAAGATCTGGATGCTGGTTTGGGGCTTGCTTTGTCATTTCACTTCCTGGGTCTCTAGATTGCAGAAAGCAGGAACTCATCTATATTGTTTTCTGCTGTGCCTTTGATGCCTAGCTCAGCATCTAATACAAACTAGATAATCAATATTTACATGTCACTTCCTCATCTGTAAAACTTAGTCTCCCCACATGAAAAGTGAGGAGGTTGGCACCAAGGCTTTCTGAGTGCTCCTCCCAATTCTACGTCACTGTGAGAGAGGATATCTCCTCCCAGTCCTCATTTCGTCTCCCACTTGTTAACTTCCACTGCCCAAGTTGTATGGGAAGGCAAATACAGGTGGGTGAGGTTCCAACATCCTTCCTCTAATGTTACACCATCATCCCTCTGAGCTCTTATTTCCACAAGAAAAACCACAAAAATGCAATCTTAATTGAAAACAGTGAATCAATCAATTACTTCATTGTCTATTTTATAAAATGAGTTCCAGAATCACCACAGACCTCCCAATCTCCCAACCTCAGCAGCCGAAGATTCCCAAAACTTTCATATTAGGTGGTTCCAGCTACTCTTCCCTATTGAAGAAGCCAAGTGACATTCTTTCTCCCTGTCTTCTGAGGGAGCTTAACAGCAATAAACAGCCTGGAAAAAAACAGCAGCGACAATGATCCATGTACGAGAGGAGGGTGTCCTTGAAAGAGACTAATTCTCCACACTCCTAATGTGAGGCTTTCCCCCTCCTTTCATAACACATCCCCCAGCAAGAAAAATAGTAGCAAACTCTGAAGCATGGGCAAGAAAACCTGTGAAATTGACAGCAGAGATTCCTGTTCCTCCAGAGAGGGAGGGGACCCACCCACTCAGAAGACCCACGTTTCTCCTCTTTTGGGGACTCCTTTCCTGAGAAGGGATGGCTCCAGCAGTGGCTCACCCTAGGTGATTATGGGGTAATTTATAGTATCCTAAGGAGGGTCCTAGTTCAGCGAGCCAAGAACTCCGATTTGATCTCTGACAGACTGTGTGACTTTGGAAAATTCACTTTTCTCTCTGAGCTTCAGATTCCTCAATTTTTAAAACTTCTTTGTCCTTTTAAGTAGTTATGACATTCCTTTTTAAAAAATACTTATGTTGTATACCTGAAACTAAAATAATGTTATATTTCAATTATTCCTCGATGAAAAAGTACTTTTCTTACTCTAAAAATGATATATAATATTGTAGACATTTTTAAAAATACAGATAAAAAATAATTATTCATAATCCTACCCCCAACTGTAATCATTGTTAATATTTTTGTGTATTTCTTTTGGCGGGACTACTTGGGATTTTAGTATCACTGAATGTATATCTCCCGGTGTGGGTTGCTCCTACCATGCCTTTCTGAGGCTTGCACTTGTGCCAACAACACTATCCATATACTAGGCAGTTTGATAACTAACTCCCTGTAGACTGGGACATAGTCTTCTTTTTTTTTTCAATTGAGGTTGTAATAGTTTATAACATTGTGAAATTCCAGTTGTATGTTTTTATTTGTCAGTCACCCTATAAATGTGCCCCTCAAGGCTTGTGCCCACCCCAAACCCCTTCCTCTGGTAACCAATAAATTATTCTCTTTGTGTGTTAGTTTATCTTCCACATACGAGTGAATCATACAGTGTCTCTCTTTCTCTGTCTGGCTTATTTCACTTAAAATAATACCCTCAAGGTCCATTCACGCTGTTGCAAATGGGATGATTTTTGTCTTTTTTATGACTGAGTAGTATTCCACATCTTCTTTATTCATTCATCCGTTGATGGGCACTTGGGTTGCTTCCACTTCTTAGCTATTGTGAATAATGCTGCAATGAATACAGGCGTGCATAAGACTCTTTGAATTGTTGATTTCAAATTCTTTGGATAAATACCCAGTAGTGGAATAGCTGGGTCATATGGTATTTCTGTTTTTAATTTTTTGAGAAATCTCCATGCTGTTTTCCATAGTGGCTGCACCAGTTTGCATTCCCACCAACAGTGTATGAGGGTTCCCTTTTCTCCACAACCTCTCCAACATTTGTTGTTTTTTGTCTTGGTGATTATCGCCATTCTAATGAGTGTAAGATGATATCTTAGTGTAGTTTTGATTTGCATTTCATTGATGATTAGTGATGTTGAACATCTTTTCACGTGCCTATTGGCCATCTGTGTATCTTCTTTGGAAAAATGTCTGTTCATATCCTCTGCCCATTTTTTGATCAGGTTGTCTGTTTTTTTGTTGTTGAGTTGTGTGAGTTCTTTATATATTATGGAGATTAGTCCCTTTTTGAATATATGATTTGCAAATATTTTCTCCTAGTTGGTGGGTTGTCTTTTTGTTTAGTTCCTGGTTTCCTTTGCCTCTTTACTCTGATGAAGTCCCACTTGCTTATTTTTTCTTTTGTTTCTCTTGTGCAAGTAGACATGGTATTCAAAAAGATCCTTCTAAGACCAATGTGTGACATAGTCTTTTGAATGCCCTTGGTGATATGTCATCTGAGACTGGTTGTAAATATTGGAAAGGTCACTTGAATACAAATCTGCATGATGAGAAGGATGATCAAGCTGGCTACCTCCATTTGGTGTTGCTTATTATTATTATCATCATCATCATCCTCACTATAAAGTTTAAAGACTGTTTTTCATCTTTCTCTGGAGTTTCCAAAATTTCTGATGCTTACATGTACAGGAGAAGAATAAATTTCATTATTTTAAAGCAATATTTCCCAAAATGTGTTCTGTGGCACTGCAGATACTGGAGAAGTTCCCCCCAAAAAAGAGTTCTGTGGTCGAAACAGTTTGGAGAAAGCTGCATACTTTATCTACTCCCTTAGGGCAAAGAAAACCCTTTAAATTTAATTAGCTGTGTTTCCTAAACTTACTTGAGTTCAAGACACTTACTTGGTAATGACACATCAGTTTGCCTGTCAATCAGTCACGACGGGCAGTATAGTTTGGTGGACAAGCAGACTTCTATGGGCACATAGCTTAATCTCTCTGAACCTCAGCCTCCTCTTCTGCAAAATAAAGATTAAAACTTTACCTCCACCACAGAACTACTCTAAAGGCTAAATCAAATAAAACATGTAAAGAATTTAGACCACTGACTAGCACGTAGCAAGTGTTCAAAGAAATGGGAGCTCTTATTATTTATTAGTTGGAGTAGAAGAGAGGGCGAGGAGAGGATGAGGATGGAATTTAAAATGTGTGGAGAAAGAGAAGGGTAATAAGGGCAGTGATTCCTCTTAACCGAGATAGCAAGTTGTTGCCCAAACACAGGACATCCATTTTTGGCACTGAGGCAATCTAGATTCCAGAGAATCCCTCCCAGTACAGAACATCTAAAAATGTTTTGTAAAATATAAAATTCATATTTTTAAATACATGGTAGAACTAGGGGGAAAGAAGAGGAAATAACAAGAAAGCGAAAATTCGAAGAAGAAAGCAAGCACAGGAGCCTCCCTCCACTGGGCTCATTCTCAAGTTTTTAGTAACGGACAGTTTGGGTTTAGTGACCTGTGCTCAAGTGGCAAAGGACAAATCCTGAGACCACTGCAATGTGGGAAGGTGTAGTATACATCACTGTATACATTTAGGAGCCCCTAAAAGATAACTAGGTCAGTGAATGAAATAGGAAGAAAAAAACCCAAAATATAAAGGGACGAGTGGTGGGAACACCTTCTGTCTCAGCTTTAGCTCTAGATGGAAGAGAATCTAAAGAAAAAATCTCTCCTGATAATTCCTAACTCACCATGAATCCATCCTCCCTCATATAAGCTAGAACCCATATCATAAGCAGTCTCAGGTTGATGGCGCCATACAACACCTGACAGGAGCAAAACCAACCCTCTCTTAAGAAACACACTTCAAGACAGGTCTCAAAGATGTCCCAGAGGAATCTGACTACACAATTTAAAAACTCTCTAAAGCATATTTGGAAAGAAATTATCATCATCATGAAATAAATAAACTGCAGGTCATCCTCAAACAGACAGCAGACGCTGGAATTACCGGATACCAAATACAAAATAAGTTTAAAGGACCATCCAAAAGTATTTAGGGGACCAGCCCCATGGCCGTGTGGTTAAGTTGGCATGCTCCCGCTTCAGCCCAGGGTTTCACCACTTCAGATCCTGGGCGTGGACATGGCACCATTCATCAGGCCGTGCTGAGGCAGCGTCCCACACAGCGCAATCAAAAGGATCTACAACTAGAATATACAACTATGTACTGGGGGGCTTTGGGGAGAAGAAGAAAAAAAGAACAACAACAACAAAAAGATTGGCAACAGATGTTAGCTTAGGTGCCAATCTTTAAAAAAAAATTTGAAGTATCAACCTTGATGAGCCAGAGTGAAAAGGACCAAAGAAAATGTCTGAAGATAAAAAATTTAATAATTAAAATTTGAACCTCAAAGGAAGATTTAAACACTGGTTTAGGCAGAGACAAAGGGAAAATTAGTGATCTGGAAAATAGATCTGAAAAATTACACAGAATGAAGCACTTTATTTGAAGAAGAGACCACAAATCCACCACCATATAGTGAGAGATTTTAACATATGTCTCTCAGTAATTGATAAAGAAACAAATGAAAACTGGTAAGGCTGTGGGAGATTTCATCACATAACCCACTAGTTTGGATTTTGTGTGTGTTTGTGTGTGTGTGTGTGTTAATGAGGAAGATTGGCCCTGAGCTTACATCTATTTCCAATCTTCCTCTTTTCACTTGAGGAAGGTTGTTGCTGAGCTAACATCTGTGCCAAGCTTCCTCTATTTTCCATAGGATGCTGCCATGGCATGGATTGACAAGTGGTGTGTAGGTCCACGCCTGGAATCCAAACCTGTGAACCCTGGACCACTGAAGTGGAACACACGAATGTAACCACCATGTCACTGGGCCAGCCTCTAGATTGGCTTTTTGATGGCTGGGAGGGATGGCCTCATCAGCTGCCAGTCCCTCAGCGCTTAGTGGGAACTGTTTTACCTGGTTCTTCTGCCGCGATAGCTAGCTTAAAATGACTGAGGGAAGGATATTTTAAAGCTACCTCAAGCCTCACCTCCCAAGAAACCTTCCCACAAGACTCTCCTGAAACTAGACTTCAGTAAGGCTTACATTCCTGTGCCTCCTGGTTCTTAATGATTGCCACTCCGCATAATTCCAGTTGTTTTCTCTTTTATTTTTATTTGACTTTCAATGTAATACATATACATTATTAAAAATTTCCAAAATACAGATAAAACCCCCACCAAAAAAAAGAAGAAAATTAAAATGACCCATGATCCCATTATTCATAGATAAGCGTTGTTACTGTTTTAATATATTGATTTCAGTTTTTTAATGTGTAATTTCATTCATTCGCTGTTTAAAAGACGTACCACATGCCTTACACTGTTTTAGCATTTGGGCACCAGTAGTGAAAAGTAAAGTCCCGGTTTCATGACACTTACATTTTTTCTATACTTTCATATGTGTAAATATGCATACATTTCATTTAAAAACAAATGAAGAGAAAAAGCCAAATGAGATCATCAGTTGGCGATTATTCATGTATCTGTAATTCCCTCAGTGAGGAACCAGATGGCAGTAATGACTACATTCTTCACGTCACCTGGCAGGGTATCTGCTGCTAGAAGGCACTTAACAAAGATTTGTGGATCCAAAAGTTGAGAGTGAAAGGGAGCAGAGAAAAGGCAAGAAGCAATTGGGATCATGGGTCCCTCTTACCTTTGGGCTGACCCTAGTGTAGCTCTCAAGAGCTGGTACAAACCAGCTCCAGCACACCACTGCCCAGCCCTAGCCCTGTCCCTGACAGGACCCTTACATCCTTCTGCCTCCTAGTTCTGCTGGTGCCCTGAGGAACAGGACCTTCTCTCAGAAGGAAAGAGGAGTGCAGAGAGAGAAGGCTGGGATGCCAGAGACCAACCTCACCAATTCCTCCTTTTGATCTAACCCGCTTTCCTTTTCTTAATCCTGTTCTCATCTCTGGATAATCAGGGAGTCGCCTAGAACAAATGGAAGACCTACTATGCACAAGACTGTGGTGTGGATTCAGAAATCACAAAATTGTGATCCTCACTTTCCGCCAGCTCACCATGTAGTGGCGGAAGGGATCAGAAAGATTGCTAAGCAATCATAAAAAAAAAAAAAATTGGTATGGAGCCAGCCCTGTGACCGAGTAGTTAATGTTCTGCACGCTCTGCTTCAGTGGCCTGGGTTCATGGGTTTGGGTCCTGGGCACAGACTTACTCCACTCGCCAGCCATGCTGTGGCAGCATCCCACATACGAAATAGAGGAAGATTGGCACAGATGGTTAGCTCAGCAACAATCTGCCTCAAGCAAAAAGAGGAAAATTGGCAATAGATGGCAGCTGAGGGCCAATCTTCCTCACAAAAAAGAAAGGGTGTGTGTGTGCACAGGACCTGGGCAATCCAGACTTTGCCTCCAGGAATCCTCCAGTGGCCTCATCCCAGGGATGATTTGCCTCTAAATCAGGCAGTGAGCATTTCCCCGAGCTATGCAAAGTCCTTCTTTCCCTTCTATCTTTGCTGTTTTTTGGCTCATAGAATCACTAAATATTAACAACCTTTAAAAAGATCCCAAACCAACTCATTCCAATGAGACTAAGAGTTATCTAGGAATCGAAGGGACACACTGAAGCTCATCAAGATAAGCCTGCTTCTATGTCACAGCCTGTAATTTCTTTGTCCAAGTTTTGGGGGTAACCAGGTCACTAACAATAGCTTTTCACATTTCTGATAATCTTATGTAAGAGGCAACGTTTTTTAAGTTTGTAGACACATGAAGCAAATAAGCTGTTGGAGAGGTTTGTTGCAAAACTGGAAACAAAACGTATCTCATAGTTTACAACGACTGGGAATCAAGGGTTGGGAGGTGGCCCAAAAATTCTCGCTTCCTGTCGAAAGCACATTCAGCTCAGTGGGATACATTTGTCTGGTTGTGATATGTTAATGATCTCTGTTGTGTATTTACGCTTGAAATTTTCACTGATTCCTGTTATTTCAGACCGCATACGCCCACACAACTATGGTTACTTGGAATCCTTGACTGGAATACATCAGGAGTAATTGGGCTGGTATGCCATCTTTTGTTGATAATTGGAAACTTTTGGACGCAACACAAGAAGTTAACAAATTCCCCTGAACTTAGCCATATGTTTGAGGAGTTATGGCAACAACAATTTTCTGCATGTTTCTAGCTGGAACTCAAGAAGGACTTTGTGACTACTGCACAGGTCTAACTCTAATGGTCTCCAGAATATTATTTCATAAGCAGAAACAAGATCCTTGCCTAATAAATTATTCATAGACCTGGTTGGGACCCCATATTGCACAAGATCTACTCAAAAGGCTTTTTTTTATTAAACTACAGTCAGACCGCAGGGCAAAGATAAAGGTTTCCATTGCAAGGCAAATTAAACACTCCATCCAATTTATCATGTGTACTGATTTAAACTGGAGGACTCAGTGAGATGTTAAATATTTTCCACATCTGATTATAAAAGTGAGAGAAGAAACACAGATGGAGATGATTGCGCTTTGGATGAATTTGGGAAACCAAGGAGACTTTATTTTTTAATATACCACATTTTCCTCTTAAATACCTAGTGAAAGAGATGTTTCTCTTGAAAAATCTATCAGATCAAAACTAATCAGTCAAGAGGAGGAGGCAAATCTGATTCCCAGGATATAAAAACAAAAATCTAATTAAACAGGAAAGGTAAACACAGTAAAAGTTTTTAAAAATATACCCCTAAGACTGGATATACATCAGAGAAAGCAAATTTATGTAAAGAAAACATGGTATAGGAATTGTTCAGATAATGTGAAGTAACAGCATTATCAATATCAGGTGAAGTCAATAAAAACAAGATTGGTGAAAACTTTAGCTGGGCTTTTAGTAGGGTCATAGCTTGGTGGAAGGGAGGGGCTTGGTTAGTCTCGTGAGCTTGGGACTGAGAGCCAAAAGACAAAGCTCCCAATCTTGCTTTGCCACTAACAAGCTGTGTGATGTTGCATTACTCACTGATCCTTTCTAAACCTCAGTTTACTTCTCCATAAAATGGTGACGCCAGGATATATTATCTCTACTCTTTCTACCTATGTTAAAATTTAACTTCTTGCCCTTTCTCCTCTTCCTCACGTTTCTGGTCTTATATCAAAAGATATGTTTTTAAGAAAATGAAGAGTGTGTCATTAATAGGATTTTATATTGAAAGCTACCTGCAAACAAAAGGCTTCATTCGTTGGGCCATTTTTTTCAATCATTCAACAAAATTGATTTGAAAACCCAATGCCTGTTGTAAACCAGATACTGTACAAACCCACAGAAGTCTTCCATATAAGGTGTGAGAGTGAACTGGACAAATTATTTGCCCTCAAGGAGTTTATTGTCTGGTGGTGGGGACAGACACATAAATAGATAATGTTAATAAAAGGTATAAGTAAATGGTAGAGGTAAACACAGCAAGCCTTGGGAGGATGAGGAAAGGATATCCTCACATCTAGGATGGGGAAGGTTTCCTAAAAGAGGAGACACCTGAGCTAAAGAATGAGTGGGGCGTTACTGGGCTAGGTAGAGAAGAAAGATCGCCAAGTATAGAAGAGCAGAAGTGGAAAGAATTACAAGCTGTTAGGAGTTGCTAGAAGGTAAAGCACAAGGTAATGACAGCATAAAAAGTAAGCAAGCGCTACATAGTGGAAATCCTGATGTGCCTCGTAAAGGAGATTCATTTTACCCCATAGCTCAGTGCTTTGCTAAGAAATCTAGGATGCAAATGCACCAAAATTCTAATATGGTACTAATAAAAAGAAAATCTGAATTTTGGACTTAATCTAGATCTATTTATTCAGAACCTCTAGGGATGAGGTCGGGGGTTCTGTATTTTAAAAGAAGAATCCTAGTATTTCAGATATGACCTAAAGTTTGAGAATCATTTGTATTAGATATTTTTACACCCATTATTTTCACTTAATTTCCACCATAATACTATGAGTTATGGGAGTTGGGGCTCAAAAAAAGATTTCGTTTCCTAGGAGAGCAAATGAGAACAAGATAGATATTATGTGCTAAATAATAT